TCCCAAGCCAACTCTAAACCCGTTAAGATTCCCCATAACTCTGCTACCAGAGCCGTTGTGCTTCCAATATTTTGCTGAAAGCCTTTAATCCAATTCCCCTGGAGGGTATTCATTTAGACGATGAAATTTCACAATATTTTTAATTTTTGAATTTTGAGAATTATTCAAATGGTCAATCAACTCCTGTAAATTGAATAATGGTAATATAACATAGAAGTTAATATATTATTTTATCAGTTACCTATTGTCGATGCTGATTGATCACCAATCTCGCAACTCTGGAAGGAGGAACGTTCCTCTTTCAACATCGGTTCCTCGCTCGACTAGAACTAGAATGAAGATGGCAACTGCAGGCAATTGAAACGAAGACGGTGGTTGGTGAGAATTTTCGACCACGAGCCAGGGTTAAAATTGATACTTGATAAAGACTTTCCACGATGAATTGAGGTAAGGAGGAAGATGAAAATTTTGTCAAAAGAGGAGAATGGATTGAGAATTGCCTATTCACTTAATAAAGTACCCATCAACAACTTAATTTCTTACTATTAGTCAGCCAAATCATTAGCTGAAGAGCGTTTAAAATATTTTCTTAAAACTTAGTTCTTTTAAAACTTTAAAAACCAAATTAATATCAACCTCATAACATATAACAAAACAACCTACACCAAATAAAATAAATTAAATGAAGTTACATCATCCCATCACATTTCCCAACAGCAAAGGAGAGACAGTGATGGTGCATATCTTTGAGATTGAACTTATCGATAAGACTTTAGAATGGGAAAGTGACAAAAAGTAAATAATATAAAGTCTTCCTTCGGAAATTTGAAACCCTTAGTCAAACCCCAAATTCCGGCCCACTGAATTTCCTTAACCACCCCTTCCCCGTGAGCTTCCAGAAGTTCATTTCTCATATATAATTTTTTAATTTACTCCATATTATTTTAATGTTTAATTTTTTTCAATTATGTTAAAAGTCGTCGCATACGAGCAGCATTGAAAAGCCCAATAGAAAATAGAAAGTCCAAATCCAGAAGAAGGGTTGGCCCAAATCTCAGCCAAGTTGTTGATGAATGATGAGAAAATTGCATAGAGAGAGCATGAGAAGTTAGATCAAGCAATCCTTGTGTCCTTCCCATGCCTCCTGTGCCGCCCTCTCCCACAGGCCTATAATTGAGACGCCTCCGAGCACATTATTATATATCAACATTCAAGAATATAATCAACAAAGAACAAACATGGAGAAGCAAGAGAAGATCAAGATGAAACCAAGCTTCTTTCAAATGCCCCTTCACTATCCTAGATACTCGAAGAAGGACTACGAGGACATGCCTGAATGGAAGCTCGACCGCCTCCTCGCCGACTACGGCCTCCCGACCTCGGGTGACTTGCCCTTCAAACGCCGCTTCGCCATGGGTGCATTCCTCTGGCCTGAGTTCCACCATCCCTCTCTTCTCAACAAAAAACTCATCTAGTACTTCAAGTTTTGCCACCTTTCTTTTCTTCCTCTTTCTCTATGCTTTATAATACAATGCTGATGGGAGTCTCTCAATGGCCATCCAATATACTAGCCTTTTAACTGATCTTCACTTTCATACTTCATGCAAAGGAATATGGGATTATTACAAACTGTTGTGTTATATTGACTCTCTTTTCATGTGTCCCCTATTGCATATAAATAAGAAAAATTTTAGGTTCAAACTTTCAATGTTATATCTGTTTAATTAAATGTACTTTAAAAAGTTTTTAATACATTCCGTAATTTATTTTGTGTCTAATAATTAATATTGTCAATATTGTTAGCTTAATGTTGATGTGACAGATTAACCGTTTTATTTAAAGATTAAGCGGTAGGGTGAGATTTGGAATAGGTTTACGGAAAATTTATAACTACTCTTACAATTCATACTCTCCTTATCATTTATATTGTGAATTCTTCTACGCAAATTGTTCTTTAGAGTTGATAGGCTAACATCATTCTTAAATGATATTGGCATCTATACTATATATGAAATTTTCGTGTAGGTTTAGACACTTGGTGGCATAAACGTTAAATCAATTGAATTAATGTAGAGAGCTATTAAATAGAAAATTAAATATTCAAATGTTCCTGCCCTTGGAATAAACACACCTCAAACATTATTACAAATTTTGTAAAAGAAGTTTCTAAAAAGGGATGAAGTGCGACTATGTCAATACGAGCGTAACTCAAAGTAATTAACATCGACTAAAAAGTTATAAGTTCGAATTTCCAACCCTAAATTTTGTACTAAAAGAGAGAAAAGGAAAAGAAGTGCGACTTTTCCTACGTTCATGTTAGTGGATTGAGAATTAAGATTGATGATTGATTTAAACATTCAAATATTCGACTAATTTGGTTGAGATATCTTCTCGCACAACTCGCTTGGCTCAATTCAACTAGTCACCTCAAGCAGATCTCAAACCCTGAGTTAAATATAAACAAACATAGTTCATTATTATCTGTTTATGCAAGGATATGCACAACAGTGTATTTCTGATTGCAGCTCGAACTTGGCCTCCGGATCGATCTGAATACTTGGGCGGACCTGCACAAAAAGGTGAGCACTCCGACGATCAAGTCAGTATAGGTCGGATTCCCAGTTTAGTTCAAGGTCAGAAATCATCATACCTGATCGTGGAGTGAGGTCCTCTACTTATGGGTGGTAGTCCCGCTAATCTCGCGACGGTTACACCCGGTAATCTCGGGACCGTCGGTTACACCCGGTAATCTCGGGACCGACGGTTACACCCAATAATCACGCCGCTGACAGTAGCTCACCTCGGCCCCCACCGAGCTTCCCGGTAGATCGGACCTCGGCCCTCATACTTAGCATCTGTCAACGCTAGTGGTGGTGATCTCGGCGGCCCGAGCTGGGCATGACTCATGAGTCATCTTGGAGCACCAATAGGGGTCCTCCACGTGTCTAGGGTATTCTCTTCCCCAAACATTATCTATTCAATTTTTTAAAGTTAGAAGTTGAAATCTAAATGCCGTATGGTTTATTTTTCAATTACAATCAAAACCATATGGTAAAAAAGATTTGATTGTAATATGGAAGAATATTTGACAGAGAAAAATTTCCATTTTCCAAGGCTGTGTATATTGGCAACGCCATCTGTACGGACAGGTCAGCGTCGAGGTGCGCCACCGACATTGGTTACAGAAACTGGACGCGGCTTTCCCTTCCATTTATGAACGCCATCTGGATCCGTGTGGCGCATTTTCGGACATCCTCTTACCGGAAATTCGATCCCCTATTCCGACGGGACGCTCGCCGTTGTAATCAAATTTGTAATCATCATCCTCAAAAATCCAAATCCGCCAACTTCACTCCCATATTTATATTTATACTTCGAGTGGAAGTAAATAATAATAAAATAGACTCCTAAATTCTGCAATATCTCCTTGAATTTTCCACCTTCCATTCCACTCCCCAATTGCTTCGAGTGTAGAGAAAGTGCCCATTTCCCCATACCCATAAGCATATCCCACTCAGTGGAGAAGATCTCAGATCTGGAACTCTGCAATTGAAGAAGCCCCATGAGATCCTCCGTGAATGGCGATTCGTTTACAACTCCTCCGATATTCAAGATCGCCGCCTTCGTTGTCGTTTCCGTTACCTTCTTTTACTTCGGGAAGCATTGGTCCGACGGGTACCAGCAGCTCATCTTCTTCTCCAGCACTGCACAAGCTCCTTCCGTTGCCATTTCCCCCAACTTCAATAAGCACTTCAATGTTTCTAATCTCATTGATCTCAACGAAACGCAGTCTGTTCCTGATAAGACACTGAACCCGGACCCCACTGCACCGCCGTTGCTCGCTACGAGTCCTCCTCCTCCTCCTACGCCGTCTGATTCGGTGCAGAGATTTGGAATCGTGGATGAGAATGGGACAATGTCGGATCAGTTTGAGGTTGGGGATTTCGATCCCGAGTTTGTGGATAACTGGGGGAATGCCACTGAGCTTGACAATGGGGAGGGTGGTTCTCAGAAATTCCGGATTAAGAAGTTTGGGCTATGCCCTCAGAACATGAGCGAGTTTATACCTTGTCTGGATAATGCGGAGGCAATTGCAAAGCTGACGTCGACGGATAGAGGGGAGAAGTACGAGCGGCATTGCCCAAAGGCTGGTGGAGATTTCGATTGCTTGATTCCGCCGCCCAAGGGGTATCGAACACCAATCCCTTGGCCAAGAAGCAGGGACGAGGTATTTGCTCGCTTACAATTATGAGTAATTCCAGAAATTGAATGAATAAGAAGAAGACTGAGTTCTTTACTCTTTTAAACCACTACAACTAAGCTTGATTCTTTTATATATGAAATTCCGCTCCATGAAGTTCTGATGGGAAGTATAGTAATTCTCTTTATCTGCGCGTTTATGTTTCGAAATCTTATTTTGTTGAAAGTATTTGGAGTTTTCTTACCTTGGGTATATCATCGGTTTTAGGTCTGGTTCAGCAATGTTCCTCATACTCGTCTAGTTGAGGATAAAGGGGGCCAAAACTGGATTACCAGAGACAAGGATAAGTTCAGGTTTCCTGGAGGTGGTACACAGTTCATACATGGTGCAGATGAATATTTGGATCATATCTCAAAGGTAAATAATACTCCAATTCTGACAGTTCAGTATAGAAATAAGCACTCAGTGACACGGCATTTGATGTTGTTTCTCATCATATTGACTAGATGATACCTGATATTGCATTTGGTCATCATACCCGTGTTGTCTTGGATATTGGATGTGGCGTTGCGAGTTTTGGCGCCTATTTGCTGTCACGGGATGTTGTTACCATGTCCGTTGCTCCAAAAGATGTTCATGAGAATCAGATTCAGTTTGCTCTTGAACGTGGTGTGCCTGCAATGGTTGCTGCATTTGCAACTCATCGTTTATTATATCCTAGTCAAGCTTTTGATTTGATACATTGTTCACGTTGCAGAATCAACTGGACTCGTGATGGTACCTTTTTCCAATTTCATCCATCATTTATTTCACAAAAGTATGAATAGGTTAAAGAATGGAATGCTCTATGGCACTCAATTTAAGAATACATTCTTCTTTGCTAGAACTAAACCAGAGGTCCACTGGCTTTGCTTCCACACCAGACTCTTTGATATACGGAATACTACATTACAAATTAATATGATTTTGCTGGAACCTAGCCCTATAACTTAAACTCCCTAGTACTTGTGAAGAGTGGAACTTTTTATTCTTTCCCCCTGGACCATAAATCATTGCTGTAAAAGATAAACATCATGATTGCCATTTCACTTTGTTGCTCATCAAGATCTCTGTGAATTGTGAGTATCAAGTAGGTTTTTGTGAAATTCATGTTTCTGGTCTGCCTGGTTAAATTATTATCCTTTACCCTAGTGAAGTCTTGTGAAGCATATCCACTATAAGATTATGTCGTGGTTGTTGACTTTTCATCTTCAATTTGTCATATGAAGATGGCATTTTGCTGCTTGAGCTCAACCGGATGCTCAGGGCTGGAGGATACTTTGCCTGGGCGGCGCAACCTGTTTATAAGCATGAAGAACTTTTGGAGGAACAGTGGGAAGGTAACTAAAAGCTTTTTTTTTATGATTTTCTGCTGACGATGTGTTTTAGCGTTAGAAGTTTGGTTTGGCTGGGCATTCTTAGTTACAGCTTTGAAATTTTGCACTCTGCACTCTTGCACACACCATTTGCTTTCTTAGGAACTCAAACACTCTTCTCTTGCAAGTTCTTCCTGTCCTCTTGTAATAAGAATTTGAACTTTTTCTATGCTAGTTTTAAGTATAAGCATCCAAGATTACTGTGGCAAGGTATATGTTGTCCGTACTTGTTATTAGTTCAGGTGAAGTTGTCCTGATGTTTTATGCCCTTTCAAGTGTGGTTTATATGTGTATTCTTCTTCCTCTTTGGTTGTCAGAGATGCTCAATTTGACCACCCGACTTTGTTGGGATTTCGTGAAAAAGGATGGTTATATTGCAATTTGGCAGAAGCCATTAAATAACAGTTGTTATCTAAATCGTGAGGTGGGAACCAAACCTCTACTTTGTGATCAAAACGACGACCCAGATAGAGTATGGTATGAATGCAGTTATAAGGTTATTAGAGAATTGTAGTGTGTGTTTGTTTGTATGTTTTATTTTTTTTAGGGTTAGTTTTATTTGTACATAATTTTTGTGCGTAATCCTTAATTACTTCTTTGTGGACAGGAATGTCGATCTTAGGACATGCATCTCTCGTCTTCCAGAAGTTGGTTATGGGGCAAATATCACCGCTTGGCCTGCGCGGTTGCATACACCACCTGATAGGCTTCAGACAATTCAATACGATGCCTACATTTCCAGAAATGAACTCTTCAAGGCGGAATCTAAATACTGGAATGAGATTATAGACAGTTACGTTCGTGCATTTCATTGGAAGACCTTTAAATTAAGAAACGTAATGGATATGAAAGCTGGATTTGGAGGGTATGTTTATCAACTACTTTCTCTCTGATCTGGTATTTATTCATTCTTTCCCTGATATATATGGTTAAATCTGCATTAACAGATTCGCAGCAGCATTGATCGATCTCAAACTAGACTGCTGGGTGTTGAACGTTGTCCCTGTTAGTGGGCCCAACACCTTGCCTGTTATTTATGATCGCGGACTTCTTGGAGTTATGCACGATTGGTAACATATGCTACTTTTTTTTAATTGATTAGCATGAAGCTTTTGAAGGCATGTTTTAAACTACAGTGATATAAAAAGAAGTGATGATTATTGATAACAGAACATAAAATATTGTAACATGTCAGGTGCGAACCAATTGATACATATCCAAGAACCTACGACCTATTGCACGCAGCTGGTTTATTCTCAATCGAAAGAAAACGGTATCCCAAGTTTCTGTTTAAGTTTTTTATTTTAGATGTAATCTATTCCTGCTTTATCTTTTTTTCCCTCCCTTTTTCTTATGAAATCTGTGGAATTAATCTGGATAATTACTTGACGGATACCAGCTGCCAGATTGATGTGAACTGGTTCATTGTAATGATGTGTGTTTCAGGTGCAATATGTCGTCTATAATGCTCGAGATGGATAGAATACTGAGACCGGGTGGACGGGTGTACATTCGAGACTCCGTTGCAGTCATAAACGAGCTTCAAGACATCGGAAATGCCATGGGTTGGCACGTGAATGTTCGCGATACGTCAGAAGGTCCTCATGCAAGTTATAAGATCTTGATGGCAGATAAGCTTCTCCTAAATGCATAAAAAAGAAATGAAAACGAAAACCTTTTAGTCCCTGTGTCTCTACTAACCCCCTTATCAAGGCCAGATTAACGAAGCAAAGAAATGCCAAACACTGTCTTAAGAAGCAATAAAAGATGTCTACCGAGAGACGATCATCGAGAGAGTGAAGACTTCGGGATGCCCTTGGTTTACCAATCCCAACTTGTAATCAATCACATAGGTACTCTCTATTATACCTCAATTAAAGCTGACAGTTACAATAGCTGATATAGTTCATTTCATTCTATTCTGTTAAATTATTGAATTAAGGTGGCCTCAAAATAAAGAGCCAAATTTGTTGTATTGATTTTTGTCACTCAATGGTAAACCTCAATTCACTGTTTGTAATTTTGCTAATTAGCGGGTCGTGCCCGATCTATGTGCTTGTTGTGTCCACAGTAGGAGGCGTTTCGTTTACGGATTAAACTGGTATAACTTGTAGTGGAAAAGTGTTAGTCTCGTGAATTATACATTCTGGTTTCTGTTATTTAGCTTTTATAGAATCACAAGTCTACTTACCGAACATATCCATACAAATTTAAGTTTCTTAAATTCAGTTCTTTGGAGTTCAAACGTAAACAAGTTTTAGGCTTTTCTAAATCTTATGGAACACTCACACTAGTAATTCTTTGTTAGATACATGATCTAGTGGGGGGTGTAGGTCCCCAAAAATTGACCTCCTTTTTCACGGCTACTTCTGTGTTCCACATGCAGAGTATTAGATTCTGAAATCATGGAATCTGAATGATGAAATGGTTGTTGTGCATGAATTATAGAGTTTGTGTTGAATGGAGGCATAACAAGAGACGTCATTCCATTTATTTTCTTGGGTTGGGCTCTCTGTGATCTCTTGTTTAAGGCTGCAAAGAAAGAGAAAAAGTACTGGATACTGGATTCTTTGATTCTTAGAAACAGGGGCGATTAGATTATTCTTTTTTCGTCATTCTTCTCAGGATGTGAAGCTCCTCTCTCTCTCTCTCTCTCTCTCTCTCTCTCTATATATATATATATATATTTGTTTCTCTCTCATGCAGTGCAGTTGCAGCCTGCAGGGTGCAGATTAGCAGGCAGTATTACGTAATGTGGACCAGGGACACAGTAGAAATACATATGAGAATAAATTCCAATTCCAAAGATTAAAAGAAAAGTGGTTCGGAAATGGTTGATGACGTACATTACAGACATTTTTGAAATTTTCAACTCTGTTTCTTTCGGTTGGCTTTGGATTGAGGCAGGGGGAAAAGTTGATCATCACTTTCTAAACAATTCTAGATTCTGAGATTCATAAATTCAAATACACCTTAAATTAAATTGAAGCTCAAAATATAGGTTTGTTTTTCAAAGTATACAAAAAGTTTCACGTTGAGTAATAAATAACAACGTTTTTATCTTTGAATAATTAAAAAAAAAACAAATTAACACTCATGTATGATCATACTATTTTCGTTCCTAGTTTTATACTTTAAAATGTTCAGTTTGATATCTTATTTTAAAATTTTGTTCATTTTAATCATGATATTTTTAAAAAGATTATTTTGATCTCTATTTGTAAATTTTTAACACAAATTTTATACATTAAACTGTAAATTTAGTGAGTAAAGTATAATGCTAAAATTAGAAATGAAATAAATAAGATAAAAATAAAATAAAATTATTCAATAGAAAAATTAAAATGAATAAAAACTAAAATACATAAACTAAACATTTTGGAAATATATACATAACACCAATATATAAAAATAATACGTTTTGGAAATATATACATAACACCAACATATAAAAATAATTTTACTATGTACTTTCAAAGCGAACGAGCATACCCAGCAATAATTGACATATACCTCCAACCTTAAGGTTGTGAGCTCGATCCTCCACCCCACATAAATTTGTTAGTGTAAACGGTAAAGGTAATTCAAGTTTAGCTATATCCGTATAATGCTTAATTACATCAAATTCTTATCAAATCAACACAACCATAATAACTTTTTGTCTACATTTTGAAGGCTTTTGATTTGATTTTAAAATAACAATTGAAATTTTTAATATATATTTTTTAATGCCATATTTGATGAAAGAAATTATTTAAAATTTTGAAATACGTACAAACGCGCATTCCAATTCCAAGGAAAAGGAAAAATATGGCATCCTTATGGCATGTAATAAAACATCATTCCCTTTCATCTGTCAGAAAATAAATAAATAATTAATAAACACGAAAACAAAAATCCCATGATATTGAAAAATAATGGTTAAAAAAGTTGCACAATTAATTTCTAAAACCACAATATCTAAGCTACGATTAAGCACACATTAATTAAATTTACCAATATATGATCTCCGCATTATCAAACCTCAGAATACACTTAAGCTATATATACCCTTCCCTCTTCATCCCCTAATTTCCATAATCCTTAACATTGAACCCTAGCTAATTGTTAAACAAAAATTAAAATTTTTTCCCCTACATGGGTGTGTTCGGAATCAAGTTTTGGATGCTTCAATTCTGTCTCTTCTCAAATCTATGACTACTACGCTAATGTTGTCTGAACTGTGTCTGGCCATGGCCAACTTGGTGAGAACAATGGAGGCATCGGAGCAAGTTTTGTCGCAGCTGCAGCCCATGCCCCTCGGCGACGACTGCGACGGCGCAAGCGAGGACGTGGGGCGGTCCCTCTGCGCCCTCATGCACGTGCGAACAGCCTCGCATGCCGTGTCATTGGACACCACGTCCCACAGCCCATCCGTGGCTAGTACCACAAACTCATCCTCCGCCGTCCGATCCATTACCACCACCTCCGGCTCCGATATCACGTACGGCTTCAAATTGCCGTCTCCGATGGCTCTCGAGGTCGCCAAAACCCCCAGCACTCTCGGGCCATCCCAGTTTATCACTCGCCCGCCGCTCGATTCAATACGCACCAATTCGTCTGGCCGATCCGGCTATACTCCAACAAAATTAATAAACGCTTTAAAAAAATTTAATAAAATCTGAATTAAATTTATCCAACAGCTTAAGCTTTTGAATTGACGACCACCTACCTTGTGGTCGTTGGAGAGGGGAATGGCGAGCTTTTTGCGGCAGAGGACGGCGCGTGAATCGCCGCAATTGGAAATGATGAAGTTGTGGGGGGTGAGGACGGCAACAAGAGCGGTGGATCCAACGGTGTCGTATTGATGAAGAGTATGAAGTTGGCACCTACAAGAGGTCGTTTGGTTGGCATCATCAGAATCAGTATCACGACGGTACTCCCTCACTTCCTCATCCATTCTTGCGAAGCTTCGTTGCATCAATCTCTTCCACTCCTCCTGATCCGCCACCGTTTCTCCTCCCAATTCATTCTCAATCATCTCTTCCTTCACAATTTCGTGCATCCGATTCTCGCAGCTCATCGACACCTACCCAAAACAAACAAAAACCCAAAATCAAATTTTGAATTTTGAAGAGGTGGGTAATTTGTAATTTGTAATTTGTAATCGTTGTTACGTGAGAGCAGCCGTGGCCGTCGAAGACTCCAAAAAAGTGAAGGGGGTGATCAGTTTTGAGAGCGGCGAAGAAGGGATGAACCGAAACCGCGTCCTCCATGTCTCTTCTTATCCCGCAAACAGAAGTGACCCCATATTTAACTTTCACCACATAGTTGTTGTTTTCGTCGTCGTCGGCGTTTTGGCAGTGGCGGCCGGGGAAGACGTCGTGGACTCCACGGCGTTTCCGGCCGGCGAGGTGAAGATAGTCCATTCGGCGGCGCCTAGAATTTCAAGGTCCAGATTTAGGGGGAGGGGCAGGGGCAGGGGAGGACTCGCCATCTCCAACAAACCAAATATCGGCCATGTCCAATGGGATTTAAAAGCTGCTGCAAAATCTCTACATTCATCTCCCCTTTTTCCCCTATAAATATTTAATCACCCACTATATAACATCTCAACCTTTTACACACTTTCTCTAATTAATTATCGAATAAAAATCATTTCTAAATACCTGTTCAAATATTTCCACAAATATATACCAACAATTTTTTAATTCTGTAATTATGATAGAATATTTGAAATTTAATCTTTTTTACTAACTAAATTTTTAAAAAACAGAAACTATTTTTGAAAATTACTTTTAAAATTAAAAATAAAAAATTAACTTAAAGTATGAAAATGTTTATCAAAATTATAAAAAAACTAACACAAAGATTAGAGTAATGTTAATTTAATTTTTAGGAAAAAAAAAGTAAAATGCAAAATGATTATGAATCGGATCTTAGTTATTATGATTTAATAATCCTTCTAAATTTTTAAGTATATATCAAAATGAGCATGTCAGTGTAATTAATTTCTTCAGTAGTATAAATATAGGCATTTAAATTTTATAAAAAGATAAATATTTAATCTCAATCTAAAATTTTTAGACAACACCATTTAATTAGGATGAAAAAATAACTGAACGCAATAAAAATATATCTCAAATATATTATTGATATTCAAACATTTTATTCTTATCAAATATATGGTATTATATAATTATTATAATCAAATATATCAATAATATATCAAATCGAGTCATAACTATATAAGTATATCAAATCAAATCGATCATTAGATAAATTGCCATCTCAATTTCATGTTCATTGAGATTATGTTAGACTTTGCTTCGTCATCGAATTGAACCTTCAATTTATACTACTTTTGTAAAAAATATTATTATTTATTATTTGGCTTGAAAGTAAAAAATAAGAATTTATTTTCCGAGGGGGGTGTACGTGGCACAATACGGCGTCAAGTTATGACACGCCTAGGCGACCGCCTCCCACTTTCTCTCTCTTTTACTATTTATAATATTCGTTTTGCCGTTTCTTTTTTAGCAGTTCGATAGAATCTTATACGTGGCATCATACTACCACCCCACTTTTACCCCTTCTTGAAAACCAAACACTCATCCGTGGGCCCCACCCCAGATTCTCCTCGCTCACGTGGCACATTCTCAAGCAGTCGGACGAAACTAATCACGCCCACCAATATTTTATATTTTTCTTTTATTAATCTTTATTTCATTCTCTTCAAGTTTTCGCCCTTATTACAATCAAAGCTATATTTGGTTAGAAATCGATGAAAGTAGGATTTTAATCGAGCATATTTTTAAATACAATACTTTTGTATGATAAACTATTAAATTTATTTAAACAGGAAAATATATTTCTTTTATTTTAAATGATTCACCCACCTAAACACTTTTATGCAAAGAAGGTACGTTTTAACTTAATAAATTGTCCACATTTTTTTTCTTTCTTTTTTTGTTTCATAATAATTTGTTAATCATTAGTTAGCTAACTTTGCAAAGATATATTTTCTTTTTAAATTCACTCACCGCGACGAAGAGTTGAAATGGTAATTAAGTACATCAATTATTGCATCCTTCAAAATTCAAGATTCTTTAAATTAAATTTTATTATTCAGATGTATCCGACAATTTCAAGACTATCTAACTATGTTCTTGCGGTCTATTATAATTAATCATGTCAAAATATTAACAGCAAAGAAAGCTCTTGATACATTATTTAAAATCATACACTTGAATTAGTATGATAAAGAACAATATGGAAGGCCTTAAAATAGGTCATAATGTGGTCATTGATGCAAAAAAAAAAAAAAAGTGTGGCTTTAATTTATCCAATAAACTGACACCTCATCAAATGTGATGGATTGTGAGGAAAACGATATTGTATAAATAAAGAAAACTTGAAAAAAAACTGTAAGTAATATCTATACCAATAACATATATTTTTATTTTTTTAACTAATTTAGCTTAGAGTAATTATATAGGTGAATTTTTGTTTTTGTTTTTTTGGTTTAATAATATTAGAATGAGAACTTTAAATTTTAATATTTTTGACAGATATATAATACTTTAATCAGTTCAATTATACTCGAATAAAAGCATTCTTTAAATTTTGTCAAGAAAGTGTGTAATTTGATGGGTCTAATATTCAATCCTGTAAAATTAAATAAGAATTGTGGTTGGAATAGTGGGCTTGGGATGGTAGAAATTTGGGAGATTATTTAAAAGCCCAAACCCAAGCTTGACGTCAACAGAAGTTTCCGGATCAGAAATTATTTGGGAATGATTTAAATCAGCGTCAGAAGCAAACAGGCGTTATTTTGAAAAAAGAAAAAAGGAGTAGTCGGTTTTTTTTTCTCTTTTTGATAATAAAGTAGTCGGTTTTATTATTTATGACGTAAGGAAATTTATGGAACACGTGGCCGTTGGCAATTGGTTGCATCACTATTGTGTTGGCCTACATAAAAATTGTAAGAACGAATCAACGATAGGGTAGGTGTAGCGTGTAGGCAGGGTTAGAGTAGTACAAGTGTTACGTTTCATCAACGCTCGCCGCTCAACGCTACGTATGAAAATAAGAATTGATATGACAAGTTTTGAAAATATTAACCCAATTTTAATAATGTTGATGGATGCTTGAAAGAAACAAAAAAGAGAAAAAAGAAAAGAAAAGAAAAAAAGTTTTTGTTAATTCTTTATTATCAAATTTTAATTTCATCAAATTACATCTTATTTTAATTTTAAAATTTAAAAGTAGGATTGTTGACGCCGAATTTTGGAGAGGCCACGCGTCCCTCAGACAAGTAGCTTCGTCAATGATCAAATGAGTCTGCAATCGAAAACTCGACGTCGGTGACCCCGCCTATTACACTCCGACGCTTAAGTTAGGAATTAGAATTCAAAAACATTTAGGGTTTTAGTGACAAAGTTTTCACTTACCACACAAACATGAGGGTTCCTTCATTTTATAGGTTTGGATGGCCGACCAGAAAGGACGACAGTTGGGATGACAGAGATGCGCAGTGTCATACAGTACCTGACAAGGAGTTACGCCCCCCGACAATTAGCAGGTGGCGCATCTACCTACATACTTGAAACCTATCGTTTGCAGCTGTCTGATCGCAGTGCTTGGCGTGTTTCCCGTACAGCAAGAGAGGAGGCGTGTTCCTTTGCCGCTGCAGTGTACGACAGGTAACCATATGTAGTCCCGCGCCTTGTAGCCGTTGATGCGTGTCCTGCTCGATTTTACACTCAACAATGATAATTTTAATCTTTTGATACATTTTTGCTACAATAATCTTTGAAAACAAATATTCACACGTGTCTATTAAATTATAATACATGTATCTAGTATGAATTTCGCAAGATTTAAGTCTAAATAAGATTATTTAGAGTTTTTAGTATTATTAATTTTTACATTAATCCAACTTAATTTTAAACAGAATTTTATTTTTATAAGTAACGAGTTTTGTTTAATTAAGTTTTTTAATTTTTTTTTGTTTGGTTAAAATAGAAAGTAAAATTTGTAACACATATCTATATATAAGATCTAATTGGATTTGAATAAAAAAAAATCTAATTTAATGTATTTATTATTACCAAATCAAAATAGGATGACTCCAACTTGTATAAATCATTAGATTCTAGAAATCCAATTAGAATGATAAATTCATTGAATTGTAAAAATTAAATGGATTGTTAGACTTTAAGGATGTTACTAGATTAATTTGATTATGTACTATCATTAATTTGATTGTCGAACTATTTGACAACATCAAAAATCATCGGAAGGTTCCAATCCTTATTATATAAATATGTAGAAAAATTATTGTATATTGTATGGTACTAATGATTGAAGAGTTTAGGGGTAGAAATTGAGGAAATTACGAAAAGACTCATTGTGGCGCACTCTTTAAGAGAAAAGGGTTAACTTTTGCGAATTTCATGTCCTTTATGCACGTATACAACCGCCATAAAAGCTCTGACTCAAGGTGGGCCCTACCCATACAAATCAAATTACCATAAGGGCCCTTAAATTAATGTTCTTACATTTCATGTCCAACTCCAAGGGTACGTACATTTCACCATACATTTCATCTCTAACTATTCACTAATTTAATTGCAAACAACACCATTCAAACTCAAAAGTTACCCAAACGCCGTTGAAAGAAAAGAAGAGAAAAAAAAAAAATCACCCACAGTTCCTTCAAAAATTAAACAACAATGGTTCACTGTTTGCTTTGTACATTTAAAGGAGTATCCATCACAAATTTTGAGTTATATTTTAAGTTTATAATATTCAGCCTTTATATTCCAACATTCATTGATTAAGACGGTTACTTCAATTGTTTAGAATTCCACCTTTTCTTTATAGAAAAAATCCATGATGGGGTTATTCAAAATTAAAAAGTTAAAATCATAAGATCAATTTAGATTTTGAGATATGTTTCATTTAATTGAAGCCCAGAAAACAGAGAATTTGTAGGTGGCACAACTCAGGAGTGGAAATCCCATTTGGCAGTTAAAGAATGGCATTCTTTATCTTTGTAAAGCACAGCAGGAATCTCCACCCGCATACTCACCATTCGAAATCACACAACAGGTAAAAAAAAAAGTGACCACTTTCCCGTCTTTTCCCTTTTAATTTTCTTCCTCAAAACTTTGTCTCTCTTCTCTGAATTTTCCTTCTTCTCTGTACCAACAAATTAAACCCCATACCATACCAATTTAGTTTTCCCATTTCATCATGCAAGTAGAAAACCGAAACATGACTCTCAAAAAATGCTTCGTCTTCCTCGAGAAAGTGTCTGATTTCTTCGTTCTCTTCGCTCGGGCTGGCCTCCTCCTCTGCCTCGTTGCGTCTATGTCACTCGCCCTCCACTCCGCTTTCACCACCCGCTCCCGCCGGTTCGTTCTCCCGGACCGCGCCCGACTCGTCGTCTCCGAGCCGGACCACAAATCCACCCCCGCCACCAGCATCTCGCACGTCGTGTTCGGAATCGGCGCGTCGGTTCGCACGTGGCGGGATCGCAGCCTGTACACGCATCTCTGGTGGGACCCGAACCGGACACGTGGGTTCGTCTGGCTGGACGAAGAACCCACAGAAAACCAACTCCGGCCGGGGAATCGGGTCCCGTATCGGGTGTCGGAGAGGTGCCGGGGGGCGGGGTACTCGTGTGGGGCGGCGGCGGCGGTTCGAATCGCGAGAATAGTAGTGGAGAGTTACAAATTGGGACTGGAAAACGTGAGATGGTTCGTGATGGGAGACGACGATACGGTATTTTTTACTCACAACTTGGTTTCGGTGTTGGGGAAATACGATCACAATGAGATGTACTACATTGGCGCCAACTCCGAGAGCGTGGAGCAGGACCAGGTTCACACCTACGAGATGGCCTTCGGCGGCGGAGGATTTGCGATCAGTTACCCACTCGCGGCGCGACTGGTCAACGCCATGGACGGCTGTCTTCAACGCTACGCTAATTTCTACGGCTCTGATCAGAGGGTGTGGGCATGTGTCGCCGAATTCGGGGTTCCACTCACCATACACCGTGGCTTTCACCAGGTAACTATTTTTCCTTTTTCCTTTTCCGTTTTAATAATGACACAGGTGGCGGACTGTCAGTGGTTATTGGAACGTAAATACTGCGTTCTATTATTTTTCTGACACGTGTAATGAGTGCTTGATCGTTAGGTGACCGATGAAACCCCCTTCCTACGTCGACGTGGAAAATGGGAAAAGGAACAAGGGAGTCAGATGTCATATTTATTTTATTTTCGCTATGCAATGCTTAAAATAAAAATGATAGAATCAAAAAAGACTGATTGGGAAAAAAATATATTTTAAATTTTTTTCTTAAGAATGAAAAACAAGAAATTGCTTAGATTTATATCCGATTGAGTCTAGAGGGAGCTATTTTAGATTATAACTTTGACCTATTGAATAAGTACTTGTCCCGTAACATTTTTAAAATTTACTATGTGAAGTTCACTAGTAATATGTGGCAATAAGTTTAAAGGAGTACTTACAGTTGGATCATTTTCCCCATATTGTATCCGTAGGGTTAGGTTTAGAGAAGGACATTGAAAATTGAAATTACTTTCAAGGACTTGTCCTTCTTCATTTTCTGGGCCTTCACTTGGTTAAAGTTACTATTTTGCGGGTCAAACTTATACTATTAAACCTTAAATATGGTGCATTTTATAAGAGTCTTATGTATTGAATTTATCTTTTAATAGAATCAACATGAAGAGATAGGATTTAGACTACTTATTTTGTTGATGGTTTTGTTTTCTGATGTGCTTGTTTCCTTTCAAATTTGTGCAGTTTGATGTTAGAGGTAACCCATATGGGATTTTGGCTGCGCATCCATTGGCGCCACTTGTATCGCTCCATCACCTTGACCATGTGGAGCCTTTGTTTCCTAACCGAACTAGGATTGATTCATTGACGTCACTTATGCGAGCATACCAAATTGACCCGAATCGAATTCTTCAGCAAAGTTTCTGCTACGATAGACGGAAAAAATGGTCCATCTCCATCGCATGGGGCTACACTGTTCAGATAAGCTCTTTCCTGGAGACAGCCAAGGACTTGCAGACTCCATTACGGACGTTCAAGACGTGGAGGAGCTGGAGCAATGGGCCTTTCACCTTCAATACACGAGCCGTGAGTTCTGACCCGTGCAGGCGACCTGTTGTTTATTTTCTGAATCGTGTTCAGGAGGTGCAGACAAGGGGTACTCAAACCCGATACGAGAGGTTTGTAGCCAAGGAAGAGAAAGTATGTGAGACAGCTGATTACGCTCATGTAATGGCAGTTAAAGAAGTTACTGTCTCCTCAATGAAGATGGACGCTGAGCTTTGGAAGAAGGTCATTTCTCTTCCTTTCCATAACAAGTTCGGTTATACATCGTCTCGTTTCTACTTCTTGTTGACGTTTTTAGTTTGATTGAATGTACAGGCACCACAAAGACAGTGTTGTGAGATTATGGATCGAGGAAGCGATGACAGTATTTGGATCAGGATTAGAAAGTGCAGGAAGAGGGAAACAATTACCATATAGATTCTAAATTTTGTAAGAATTTTTTCCTAGTTTGAATTGAGTTTTAGGCCCGAGAATAATGATGGCTGATTGCCCGTCTTGTAAATATCACAGTTATAATACTCACAGATAGAAAGATTTATGTATATTTAGCAGGACCAGATTCTTTTTATTCTGGGGTGTAAACTTTTCTGCTAAGTGAGTGAGACAGTAAGACAAGACAATTAGCTGCATTATTAAAGTTGTTAAGAACATCATTGTTTCTGGTCTCAAGTCAAAACTATAGTGTTTGGAGTGGACTAAACACTGAAAAGTTTCGAAAGATTAAGCCAATGGTTTAAAGTCGAGAAGGATGTGCTAATTGCCAAATATGTGCGCTTGTAGTGGAGCTTTGCAACTTCTGCTGCTGCCATTGGTGGGTTGAAGTAAATTACCAACTGGGTAATGATGGAAAATCCTAGTGGTTTCTAATATGGTTCTCCATAAAGGATGTCTGTAGGCCAACCATCTAATAACTACAACGACAAAGTATTCAGTAATTCCTAAGCTCTTTCCTTTATATCAACTCCTACACCTTCTAAAATCAATTTCATTTTCTTAGTACCCTGTTCTTAAAGCTAACTGGATATTGAATTCAGTAGCAAAGTAGTCCAATGTGCTTTAAATCTGTCACCTCCTAAGCTTTATGATATCGACAAGCCATAAGAAAGAAAATATAATATGAGCTAAGGAAATATTAATAGCTGAATTGCAAAATTTAACTCATTGGATTGGACATTGATAGTTATTAACTTCTTTACATTTTTAAATTGATCTGTACGACTCTTGTACCTCAGTACCCCGAGGTATGATTTGAGTCTCAATTGCAGAGCAACGTATCCCGGGTTGCATTTCCAGTTGTTGGGTTCACCCTGTCAACATAAAGGCCCAAGTTTCTAAGAACAGATCTTTTTCAGTCAAACTAAAACATAGTAGAATTGTCCTTACCCATCTGCGACTTTGCAAAGGTATTCTCGCTGATCCTCTCTCAGAGGCACGTCTGTGAAGTCTGATGTTATGAGGTAAATCAACCGTGAGCATTTCATCGTCACATTAAACGACTCTATCATCATTTCTCATAACGTTATGAAGTAAGCTAATTGTCATTTCCAGTTATTATATTTCTACTTCTGCTTTAGTGCATCTCCAACAAAAATGAGTTTATCAGCAGAGACTGAAACATGCCAAATGAATTGGGACTAAAGCTAGGAAGGGTAGAATGTTAAATTTAAGAAAAATGAAGAGCTAATAATATGATTGACAGATCCCATAACAACCTATATTAATGAATTTTTCGCAGAGGAATCCCAACGAGATACTCGAAGCTACTTAAATGTTAGCTTTACATACCAGCTCCTTCTATTGTTGATCCACGAAACGAAGTATTTCCCGTGGCGAGTGCACCTTCTAGGTTGGCATTGCTTAAATTAGCCTGCTCAAAGCAGAATAATACACCATCGAGGACAGAGATTATAATTTCAGTAGCTTATAATATTTAAGCACAAAAGACCAACCCAAATGCTTAAGCTGATGGGTTGGATAAATTTAATTCATATATGGATATCAACACAATTTAAGGTTATCACATTACATCAATGTGCTGAGGGATGTGATGACGATGCCGAATACCCAACAGATTAATAGTTAAGTTTTGCATATAATTGTTGTGCAAAGTAGTTTCCTATTATGTTTTTCTTGACTTGATCAAAATATTGGACATTCAAGAATGAGATTGAGATCAACTAAGTATGACATTGCTAACAGGAATAGTCAGCACCAATCGTTAACAAGAAAGCATATCATTATAAATTATCATCAATCACCTTTGTAACATTGGCCAGGGAAAAGTCAGCACCTCTGAGATCAGCATCTGATAGATCCGCCCCTAACAATCAGGCAAAGAAACATCAGAATCAGTCTTATCGGATTTCGCTGTCCATGTCACAGGAGGAAATCCTCAACATGACATTGCAGTCCACAAACCTACTTAAAGCACTGTAACGAATATACCTGTTAAATCAGCATCGAAGAAGCTGGCACCTAATAACTTCGCACCTTTAAAATTAGCTTGCCGTAATATAGACTGCACAAAAAGAAAGTCACAAATACATATCATTGTAGTACAACATGAAGAATAGTGAATTTGGTCGGAGAGGGAGAGAGACCGTTTTGAAATCTTGCTTGATTAACGTCTTCCCACTGAAATCTTTCCCGGAGAGATCCTGACCTCTAGTGACCCCGGCACCGTAAGGACCTCCGCCCTAATTCGAAATTGAAGCCGTTCACCAAAAATCAATCAATGATCAAATTGAAGAAGCTTCACACACGCACATACAAACACACATATACATATCAACAGACATTTACTCAAAACAATCAAGAGAAGAAAAATATATTATCATCCGATAAGTTTGGAGATTTTCAGGGGAAGATTTACCTTGAAAGCAAGCGCAGGATCCGCGAGGAACAAAGAGGCGGAAAGCAAAGCGAGGAAGGTGGCTTTGGAGGCGGATTCTCCGACGGAAAGTATCAAATTCCGCGAGGCTTCCAATTGCTGCTTTAGAACCTTAATTTTTCGTAAAAACGATAGGATTTCAGTAGAAATGAGAGAAGCAGAGGAGAAATGGAGCGGCGGAGTTTGTTACCGGCGGCGTAGGGTGGGCGGAAATGGAGGGAGGAAGATGAAGGTGAGGCGCGGGAGGAATTCTGGAAGTGGAACAACATAAGGAGGCGTTGAGCAGAGCCATTTCCAAAACTCTGCAACAGCAGCTGTATCTCTTCGCTCTCTCGTGTTCTTCTTTGGATAATGTGGGCGCATAATCTGTAAACGGATTATGAGTTCTGTTTCTATGCACCCGCTTACATCTTTCTTCTGGTCCTTTCTCCACTTGGGTTCCGCCACGTGTTGCAAAACTAATCCAACCCAATATTTTACCTTTGGTTTTTTTAAGTGACGAACTTAATACTAAATCACTTCAATGAGAGGTGAGAGGTGTGTCTCGCTTTCCTTAAATTGGCAACTAAATTGTAACTAATATGTATTTGTACTATTTCTCTATTTTTTTATTGTGCTTACCAACCAGGTCAAAAAATGTTCGGTCTCCCAAGCGTAGGACCATGCTCAAAGTGGACAATATTATACCATTGTAAAGATATCTTGAGGTACGAGAATAACTTCGAAGTTTGCAATAAATTATTTATTTAGTTTATTCATGATATTTGAAGAGGGTATTGATGAATGAGACAATTTTTTTCAATAAAGATATACTTTGTAAAAATATATGTACAATTAATCTTCACATCATTTTGTGTCTAAAGTGATTCTTTTTGTTAGCAATGCAAATTCATGAATATTACTTGTGGCACCCTTGACTTGAGAAGTGTTGATACAGATGAACATTAGGTTTGGGATTTATAACGAATCTAATTATGGTTGGCTTGTAGGAGTGTTATCAAAGGCAGGACAAAGAGATGAGGATGACTTATTCGTTCTCGTCCCGGCTTCCATTTCATTTCTTATTCGAACAATATTCTTTACAAAACTATCTGTGAGTTCATGCATGGAATTATTCCCTTTTTTAGAAAGAAATTAAAAATAAGAAAAATACAGTGTAAGATCTTCATTTAAATGGTTAAATTATAATGAAGAGCCTAAAATTGGTTAAATTTACTAAGAATTGAGAGAAAGAGTGTGAGAATAGGATCCCAATAGGAGGGAAGGAAAAACATGAGAGGCAGTTAACTAGGAAAGGGTTGGCATTTTGGTAAAATTAGAAATCTAATTGGGATTTTTTTTTAAAAAAAAAAATATATATATATATATAGAGGGGACATGGATTATAAGTAGAGTATTTTTCATTCCCGTCTCCGTTTAGCTGTTGTTTTGACTTTTCCTATATTTGCCTAACTTTAAGCAAACTTGGGACGACTTTATATGGTAAAATTTTTAAAATAGGTAGATTAAAGAAAATAAAAAAGGGCACTAAAATTGTAATTTTAACTCTAAATAGAAAACCACACTTTACAGTTAATCATTTCATAAAACATATATACTTGATCTTGCTCTATATTTTTTTAGTGACTTAGCAATATTGATTGGTGACAAATGGTACCAACAATTGGTGACGTGGATGGTAAATAGTAGTTTAAAAGAGTTCTACTGGATGATGGTAAATCCAATTACTTGAATTTTGGTACTTCCAAAGACTTGTACAGAACGGTAAATAGTAGTTTAAAAGTCTAGAAATACACATTACAAATTTTTTGAAAGTGTCAAACAAAAAATTGGAGATTAAAATAGCAATGAATTAAACTTGAAATAGGAAAATGAAAAATGAAAAGAAATGAGCATCGGTGAAATCAGAGTCTGGTACATAAAAAATTGTGCGATTTGGAAGTGGATGGCTGGGCGGCACGTAGAGACACAGCGCCATCTTGGGTCATGAGTTCCGAATCCGTCTGGCGTGTGCAGGCTGCGGCTACGGCCTTGGGGTGGGCGTTTCTGCGGCGATAGCGATACTTAACATTACAGCCACACAGATACTGATACTGTTACTTACCACTTACCACTGCCACTGCCACCGCCACCGCCACCATCGATTT